CCCGCCAGCCGCTATGGAGAAGCGGGGACCATACATGGTGACGCGCGCACCTTCTATTCAGGCTAAGCTTCGTGAGTGCAGCGGGATGCATGAGGGTCTCTCCCAGAGCGGGCTGCTATGGCCAGGGGTTGGGCCCCTAAGTCCCGTGATCTTGTCCCTAGAGGGGAAGGGATTTAGGTGCAGCCCTCTCCCGCCGCCGAGAGCCCGGGAAGAGCGGAATGGGGAAGACCCGGCTGACCCAGGACCTTTTGACTTCCAGAGAAGCACCGGGACCTGGCCAAGGCCGTTCTACGGAGAAAGGGCATGCTGGGGGCCTTGCCGAACCGCCCCGATTCTTCAGGGAAAAGGTCTCAATGGGTTTCGCCTCCTGTCAGAAGCTTCCGAAGAAGGCCTTTAGCCTCCTGCCTGGGAAGAGGGTGCTGAAGTTTAAGGATGAGCTAGCTAGCTAGCTAGTCTGCTGACAGGTTCACCTTAAGATTGGGAACTGGAGCCAATTTAAAGTCGTGCTAGTATCACGAAATAGGCTTTGAAATAGGGAGTTCCATCGTTTCCATAGATAAGAATTAATTAAGGGAAGAGATGGTGGAGAGAAGCAGCTTTCCCTGGTTCAAAAGAGGGAGATGTATTTTTCCTAGGAGCTATCGGTGGAGTGGGCTAGAACATAATTTGAGGAGCCAGAGCCACCCGCATACAACATTGGGTTGTGACAGATGTGACTGGGTAGAAGGGAAGTCTGAGATGGTCCAATGAGTTCTTTCTGCATAGGGCGAGCACGATGCCCTTCTCGGTGAAATGGGCATCGTGCTTTCTTCCCCTCCCCATCTCTCCTCAGGTCAGTGAAGTTTAACAAGGGCTATACTGCTCTTAGCCAGAGTCCAGATGAAAACCTGGTGTCCCTTGACTCTGACAGGTGAGTACTTTCCTTGGAAATAGTCGGGGAGTGGCTTGGATAGCACTGCAGATTGCTTGATACCCTTACCTGTTGCCTATCTCCTCCAAGGCCCTTCATGCACATTCCAGGGCTGTTCTCTTCTGAGTGCTGTCCCTTCCAGGGATGGCATGGCTAGAAGGGTCGTCCTGTCCTATTGTGCCTGCACTGTTAGTGAGAATGACAGTTTCTGCTGAAGTCAACTGAGGGAGCCATTGGTACTCACTGGAGACTCTGGGCTTATTCTATGGTGTGCGGTCTTTGCTTCACAAGTCCTTCAGACCCCTTGCATGTCCTCCTTGCCATTTGCAGCTGTGTTCCATAGATGTCCCCTGAACTGATTGTCTTCCTCTTCTCCTAGTGATGGGGAGCTGGAATCCAGATACTCCTCCGGGTATTCCTCTGCAGAGGCAAGTCCAGAGCGCCTATCTGTGCAGTGCCAGGCTGCAGGCAGCATCATCACCACTGTCAAAATGCTTGTTTGGTGCCTGCTATGTGCACAGCACTGTGATAGATTCTAGTCTGTTCTCTGGTCTTCCACTATGCCCTCCCTCTTCTCTTAGGAGAGATAGAAGGTATCTTAAAAGGGAGGGCTGTTGAAAATTCAGACTATATATCCTTAGGGCTAGAAATGATCTCAACAGTCTATAATCTAGGAGTCCTCCTGATAAATTGTAGCTAAGTGTTTCCTAGCCTTTATGTGCTGGGATGCTTCCTGTGGTTGGGCACTTTCTACACCCAAGTATTGCTTGCTGCTCTCCCCCAGCAAACATACAACTCCTTCTTTGGGTCATTTATAGGTCTTCCTGTTTCTTGCAGCCTGGACCCACTGGTCATAGGTCTGCCTTCCAATGTCACATAGTAACTTAAGTCACCCTTTCTCTGAGTCAACATTCAACCCTCCCCTACTCATCTTCCATTGAGCCTGCTTTCTTCAGTTCTGTCTCTGGGCAGTTCTGTCTGAGCACACTTCCTGGGCTGGTCTTTCAGACATCTTTCCAGAATGATTGTCCCAGGGACAGAAAATTCTCAGTCAGGCATAATAGCATATGTCAGGGCAAGTACAAAGAAGCTGAAGTGGGGATGTAACTGCACTAGGTCTTTCTTTCTTATTCTCCAAGGAATCTTTGGGTAACCTCTCAATTTTTGCAAACGAGAAAACAGCTTGCTTAAGATTGTCAAAATTAAGAAAACTTGCCAAGTGTTATTAGTGCATGCCTTTAATCCCAGCACCCAGGAGGCAAAGGTAGGTGGGTCTCTGAGAGTTCAAGGCCTGCTTGGTCTACAGAATGAGTTGGGGGCTGGATAGTTTTCAGTAAGCCTCTGGGGAGTTCCTCACTGCTAGAAAGGCACAGTTGGGAAATGGTGATGCTTCCTTTGTAATCCAGGATGTGGAGTTGGCCTGGGGCTAGGTAGAGCAGGGGCAGGAAACGCTGCTATGGTGACAGGGGCCTGCCTGCCTTTGGGCAGCAGCTCTGCATGCTTTGCATCCTGATTTATAGTTCTCTCCTTTTCCTTTAGCAGGTGAACCAGGATGTGAGCCGGCAGCTGCTGCAGGATGGCTATCACCTGGATGAGATTCCAGATGATGAGGACCTGGACCTCATTCCCCCTAAGCCTATTGCCTCTTCCACATGCTCTTGCTGCTGGTGCTGTCTTGGGGAATCTTCCTGTACCCTCCAGTAGTCATATCCCTCCAGGATGCTCCCTGCTCGTCATGAGGTCTACAGAGCCCCAATGGCCTTTCATGGCTCAGTGCACTGGGCACGGCTGCCAGCCTAGAGTCACTGGAGGCACTGACCTACAGACAGCCCTCACCTGGTGCTTCTCCTGTCAGAAGCCCCCATCTGGGTCACAGGCGACAGGTGAAAGTCTGCAGTTCTCTGTTGGGACAGTTTCAGGAAGTCACTTCAATAAGGGCAGGAGTAAAGACTTTCTGTGGTTCTTATGCTACTGACAAGGGTTGTTAAGAAAATCGTTTGCCGACATTCCGACTGCCGTTTGTCGGGGTGCTCTAAGGAAAGGAAAACAAAGCTCCTCTGCCCAGGCTGTGCTGGGTGGTGTGGTAGGAGGCAGAAAACAGCACTTTATGGCTTGCAGTAAGAATCTAAAAGAATGTAACAAACCAATTCAAGAAATTCTGGTTTGGGTTTTTGTTTTTTTTTTTTTTTTTTTTTTCTCCAACTCTAAGTTCAGTTAACAGGTTTGAAATTCAAGAGTTGTTACTTCACGTTACATCTGTCTAGTTATGATGTAGGATTGTGGCTTTTGGAACCTCTGGACTTAGGACATTCTACTGGTCCTGCTGTATCTTTGGGTTTAGTAACTGGTCAGCCCTTCCCAAGTTAAAAGGAAACTGCTCTATCGTGTATATGTTCATTTATCTGTAGTTCCTTGACATTGGCTAGTTTTTCTACCTGCTTTTTTGTTTGTTTGTTTTGATCTAATAGTTGGATTGGCTCCTGGGGCTGGCACCAGAAACCTGCAGTTTTGTGATCACCAGCAGAGGGAGCTGCTGGGCAGTCAGTGCCTTCTGTGTTAAGCTTTTCAAACTTTGAGCGTAGATGTCCTTATGTAGCTGTGTGGCTTTGGCCTATATGGAAATGGTCAGACAGGACCCGACTTGAGATAGATCAATTTGCAGTGCAAGGGGTCTTCCTTCTTCTAACAAGGTTTATTCCTATGGCACATGCCTCTGCCCCAGCACAGGGCCCACACGCTAGAGGCCGTGTATAGCTCTAGTAGAGCACTTGCTTAGCATGTGCAATGCTCTGGGTTCCAATCCCACACTGGGGGCTGGGGATATGGAACCTGTGGGTGAGCACAGGCCTTCTCAACCCCGAGAGCCTGAACACAACAAACGCAGGGGAAATTCTTGAATACTACGCCTTTCTGGAATTTAGTTTTCCAGGATTTCTCTCCTACCTTTCCTTTATCTTACCCAGGTGTGTGGTGAGACTTGGAGTGGACAGTGTTCCCAGGGTAAAGGGCACAGTAGTCAGAATTAGGTGTTGGGCACAACCTGTGACTGTCATGTCCAGTGACTACTAGAGGCGTAGGAGGAATGATGTGCCCCCTATGGTAGCACAAAAGATGGTAAGATCAAAAGATAAGTCCTTCACTGTTACCTGGCCACAAACCTGTCCTTATTTTAGCCTGCTAATACCCAGCAGGCTTTTCTTCTCAGGCAGCAGAAGGTTGAAGAGTGTACCATGTCTAAGGGCTTTTCACTCAACTACTGAGCAGAATCACAGGAGGGAAGATGGAACAGCAACCAGAGGCAATCTGCTTGCTTCCTGGGACTGGGTAATAGATGCTATGTTCTGCAGAGGGACTCTGCAGCTCTACGCAGGCATCTCACATTCCGAGCACCTTATGTTAAAGCCTGCAGGGAAGGAACACAGACCATACCTAGGCCTTTTAGGATTCTGCGGAGGTGAAGCACATGTGGAAAGGGAATAATAGATGTAGTACGGTGTAGAGAAAGACTTGATGGTATATCTCAGTGAAGGACAGAAGTGGAGTCTTATTTCTGTTGGGATTTGGTTAAGACAGAGTAGTTTGGGCATTTGGCAGCTGGGGGGGGGCAGTAACCCCCAAACGACACCCTCTGGAGTGATTGTTGCTGTAATCAACTTTGAGGTACTTGGCTGAACAGTCCCTAGAAGGGAACAGGGTGGCCTTGTATGGGAAAGCATTACTTTATGGAGAAAGCTCAGGGATGTGGAGCAGGTTATAATGTCCAGTTAGGAGAGGTAGAAATAGTTGTTAGGGGATAGACAAGATAACACCAATAAAGGCACACCGGTGCCTACATTCTAACTGCCTCACTTCAGAGTGCTAGGTGTCCTGGAGGAGGCAGTCCCTCAGGAGAAGTGCATCTGAGCTTCCTCAGGACTGGTTCCACCTGATGTTTACAGACCACTGCTCTACAGACCTCTTGGCTTGTACTCTACAGTCTGTTATAATAAATACAGTCATGGTAGTGGATCTGTATTGTATTGCATTGGTTGGGGCAGGAGCACTTTTTGAGACAGGGTTTGTTTGTATAGTCCTGAAAGTCGATCTGTAGACTAGACTGGCTGCAAACTCACAGAGATCTGTCTGCCTCTCCCTCCTGAGCCCTGGGATTAAAGATGTGTGCCACAATATCTGACTTGCTTTGGGAGGTTTAAGAAAGGCCTGGGTATGCTGAAGAAATAGCTTAGTCCAACCATGGCAATGACTCCTGAAAACTTTTTTCTGCTGTTCCCCAAGGATATTATTTTGGAGGCTGTGAGTGGAATGGACCCTTGACTTTAGAATGGGTGAGCCTTTAGCAGACCCTCTTCAGACTACTATTTTTGTGTGTGTGTCTGTGAATATATATGGGTGTAACATGGCAAATGTGACGATCAGGGAACAACTTTCAGGAGTGGGTTCTCTTTCTACCATGTAGATCCCAGGGGTTGAATCTAGGTCATCAGGCTTGGTGGCAAGCCCCTTACTCCAAGAACTATCACTCTGGCCTCGCTCTTTTTTTTTTTTTTTTTTTTAAAGCCAAAGAAATTGTGTAATAAGTGCTAGGGATGGTGGTGCATACCTATAATTACCGGGGGGGGGGGGGGGGGGGGGGAGGGCGTTAGTTCAGGTCATCCCCAATACATGGGGATTTCTTGTTTGGTTTTTAAATTGTGTCGTGTGTGTGTGTGTGTGTGTGTGCGCGCGTGCGCGCAGTGTACGTCCGTGCATCATGCGTATGCAGCTGCAGGAGCCCAGGGAGGTCAGAAGCATCAAATCTCTTAGAACTGGAGTTACAGACAGTTATGAGCCACCACATGGGAGGTGAGAACCAGACCTGGGTTCTAAGTACTTTTAGCTACTGAGTCATCTCTCTCTAGCCCCCAGTATGCAACACTAGCCTGACCTATATGAGAACCTCAAAAATAACTAAAAGGGACTCAGGTGGCTCAGTTGGTAAAGAGATTACTGTGCAAGCATGAGAACCTGAGTTCAGATCCCTGACCCTTCCAACCCCAGCACCCAAATAAAAAGCCAAAGGCAGTGGCACATACCCGTAATCACAGTTCCGGGGAGGCTGAGCCAGGAGGCTCATTAAGGCTTTCTACCAGTCAGCCTAGCTGAATGAGTGAGTTCTAGGGGATGGCTGAGGAGGAACACGGAGGTACATGTGTGCATACATAAATATGTGCAAACACCAGAAGCCATATGAAGCTGAGACAGAAGTACAACTTCAAAGCCAACCTTTGGAACATGGCAAGATACTCTCAAAAAAGTATACTAGAAGAGCGGCCAAAGCCTGCCTATAAGCTGTGCATCTGAGGCTGAGGCTGGCTTCCTCTCCACCCCCAGGAAGCTGTATGAAGCAGAATCAAAACCAAAATTGAACAGCAGAGAGCTCTTTCTGCCCACATGAGGGGCAGGAATACCAACTTCTCTTTAGTCTGCATCCTTGACACAAGTGATCTTTAATTACTTTGACAGAACCTAGAGGGAGTAAGCTTCATTAGTCCACTGACCTGTCCCTTCCCTTCCCTTCTCTGCAACGGAGAGCAGGCAGTCCCAGGGCAAGAACCCTGTTCTTACACATCACCCCACCTGTCACTCAGATGGATGCTGACCTAATGCTGGTCACGAATGTTTTGTTAGCTGGGGCAGAGTTGTTGCCTCCTGAATAGACACATCTGGCTCAGAGGTAGCAAGGAGTGTTGAGAGAGTACAGTGGAGTGCAGGCCTCAGTCTTGACACAGACCCCTCATCCTGAAGATGGTCTAACCTAGGCATGCTCTGGAGTCACTAATGCCAAGCTCTCTATTCTACTATTCCAGCATGCACCAAAAAGTGCACAATAGGGACAGGGGTTGGGCTGGGCCTGAAAGGTGGAACTGGCCAGCATATAGGTGATGGGCAGAGAGGGTGGGAAGACTGGTCTCTACAGCAGACAGCAGGCCCGGAATATCAGCAGATCCGTGGGCAAAGAAAGCTTCAGTGAGACACTCTCATTAGCCCCAATGAAGAGCACTCCACCACGCTGCAAAGGGATTTCTCCTTGAACTGTGGGTGTGGTAGCTGTCACTGACCCTTGGACTATCAGAAGGATGCTGGCAGAGTCTAGTGCCAAGATCTTGTATTCAGTGACAGAGCCAGGGACCTGGTAGAAGTGATGGAATAGTATAGTTTATACTCTGCCCCTGGGTTCTAGAGCACCTCAGGGGCCCTGCTACCTCCTTCCCCACTGTTCAGGCTCTTGGCACCATGGAGACCCACATCTGGTCCCTGGCAGAGAAGTAAATAAGCTCTGTGGCTGCCCATACTAGGTGGGCTTGACAGGAAATCCAGCCCCAGGTATACCCCTGTAGGTTTGACATGCTACACCAAGGATACCCACCTGGCCCATGTACTCACCTCCATCTTCATAACAGTGAAGTCTGGCACAGGAGGGTCATAGATAGAGAGATAGGGGTCATCTTGACTCCGTGTTGGGGTAAACAGCCTGTCCTTGCTGGGGCTAGGTGTGTAGTTGAGCATTTCACATAGGGTTGGCACATCAATGAATTTGGGTGTCAGGCCAGCACGAACAGTATTGTCTGAGCATGCCATGCACTCCACACAGTCTGAGAACAGATAAATGTCATGTGCTAAGATGGTGAAGTAAGCCTTGGAGTTTGGCTCTCCAGGACTGGGCCTCCTAACTTAGGCATATGCATGCCCTATAAATCAGTTAAAAATGTGTGAACAGAATTGTGGGAGAATATGAGGAAGGTAATAGGCATCAAATTATGTTAACCCCTATTTTTGGGTTTTGTTTTGGTTTTTGGTTTTCCTTCTTCGAGACAGGGTTTCTCTGTATTGCTTTGGAGCCTGTCCTGGAACTTGCTCTGTAGACCAGGCTGGCTTCAAACTCAGAGATCCACCTGCCTCTGCCTCCCAAGTGCTATGATTAGAGGCATGTGCCAGCATCCCAGCAGTTAACCCCTATGTTAACATGACTTATGTTACACTTCTGCAACAGAATCCTGTGAGTGGATAAGCTGTCAAAGTCAAATGGGACACCAGTCAGATCTGGTGGTTCATGCCTATAATCACAGCACTCACAAGGCTGAAGTAGGAGGGTTGCCACGAGTTTGAGGCTAGCCTGGGCTACAGAGTGAGACCCTGTCTCAAAACAAGAATAGCAACAAACAGGGTGGTCAAAGTGGGTAAAACCACTTGCCATGCAAACATGTGGTCCTGCGTTCAAAGTCCAAAGACACATATTAAAACCAGTGTGTAGTACAAATAGTTGTAATCCCAGCATTCCTATGGGGAGATAGGAGAATCCCTGGAAGTTCACAGGATAGCTAGATGGAGTATGTGGCAAAAGAGGCGGGGGGGGGGGGGGGGGGGGGGGGTCAAACAGGGGGCTCAAACAAAATAGAATGAGGACCAACCCTTAGCCCCCGGGTTGTCCTCTGATCTCCACATGTATCTTATGGTACGAGTGCCCCTACATTCACACACAAGTGACATCCTTCTGCTGTATCACCCATACTGTAGTGTGAAAATCTCCAGGCAGAGCCAGGCGGTGGTGGTGCACGCCTTTAATCCCAGCACTCGGGAGGCAGAGGCAGGTGGATCTCTGTGAGTTCGAGACCAGCCTGGTCTACAAGAGCTAGTTCCAGGACAGCCTCCAAAGCCACAGAGAAACACTGTCTCGAAAAAAAAAACACAAAAAAACAAAAAAAATCTCCAGGCAGATAGAGTTGGTATGCAAACACCAATGGTAGGACAGAGAACAGCAGCTTTGTCCAGTGTGGCTTGGCTCAAACTGATTTCCACTCATCAAAAGGGCTTAACACCAGAACTTGTGACTGGTAGCAGGTTTTAAGCTATGTCTACCACCCAGCTGGCAGCCATTATCCATACAGGCTCAACCACCCTCTGAGGTGCTTACACTCCAACCATCCTCTCTCTTTTATCCACACAAAGAAACAAGGTCCATGGGGGATGGCAGTGGGGCATACTACTAAAATGGGACTCACCTCCCTTCAGGTAGGCATGGGGCACATTGGCCTCCAGAAACATGGCTTCCCCCGGCTTTAAGGTGAGCAGGTTCAGGAAGTAGATGGCGAAACATCCAATATCACCTGGGTACTGCTGGTGCAGCTGCAGCAAGAGCTTCCCGCAGATGTCATCCATGCTGTTTCCAGCAGATACTGAGGGTCACAGAGCATCCCAAGGCCACTAAGACACACGTGGTAGTCACAGCTTCACCCTGATGAGGGAGTCTTGGGGAACAGTCCCTGCCCCTATGAATGCAGTTATTATGCCAAGTCTCTTCTAAACATCCCTAACAGCCCTCATCTTTGATGTTCAGCCATCCTCAGTCTTCCTGCTCACAAAAATGCCATCTCTCACCTCCACCATCTGCATGACTGGCCTGGCAACAGCAGCTGAGCATTGTGATGTACAGCTAGCTATCACTCTAGCACCAAAGCAGAAGAATCACCATGAGTGAAGGGTAGACTGGGCTATATACCACATTCTAATACAGTCTGTCTAATGACTCTGTCTCAAATGATACAGGATACGGATGCAGCTCAGTTGGTACAGTGCTTGCCCAGCATGCATGAAACCCTAGGTTTGGTCCTAGCTCCACAAAGACACAGGCATGGTGACATGTGCCAGTAATCCCAGTACCCAGGAAGTAGAAGCAGGGATGTCAGAATTTGGTTATCTAATGAGTTTGAGGCCAGCCTTGGTTACAAGAAACCTTGTTTCAAAGAGAGGTGGGAGATAAAACTGTATCAGAAATATACCACAGATACCACTAGCATCACAGTTCAGATACTGAGAAAAACACCTCCAGACAATTTCCCAAAAGAAGTCTCGTTAGGGACCACTCACAGTTCTTGAGCTCAAAATCTATTATAGATAAGTAGATAGCTCAAAAGCATCATGAAGAGTATCAAATTTCCTATTAGCCAAGGACTTCCCCTTTGTTAGCACTG